ATTAAACCCGCGCCACTGACTGTCAGGAGTACCGAGATGAGCACCCGAACAGAGTTGTCAGATCTGTCTGGGTCTCAACTGATTATACCAGTGGTTTTGAGGCAAATACTGAGAAATCCATAGAGTGCTTTCTTTCAATCTTCAACTAGAGCCTGAAATAACAGAACCACCCCATGCGCACGCTCAGGCTGGAACCCATCCTCCAGTTTCCGAGCCCATGGCTAAGTCTGCTCCTATTCGGGCGTCATCTGGGGAGAGTTTTGATGACGATGACGATGTTTGGGTTGAGAACCTCCATCCTATGAACGAAGATGACCCACCAACCAAGATGCCTTCCGAGAAGAAGTCAACCCCGAAGAAACGAAACTGGAGATTGAGACAGCCTTCACATGTTGACATTTGCAAACAGCTTTTCCCACTCTCTGGGCCACCGAAGCAGCCTATCGATCTAGATGCAGACCAAGAGGAACAGGGTTCAGAGGTTGAAGAAAGTGAAGAGGATGAGGAAGCAAAGAAAACAAAGTCTAATGACAAGGGGACCTATAAGGACCAATTTTTTGTCACATATCATATATGCATGTCATGTATCAGTGCGTTTTTTACTATTTAAACATCACCAACCAATGAAACCCATGATGTCCAGGACCGTGGGCCTTTGTGTGTGCCACCCACACTCCCCCAAGCGGCCGCTGAAGCTACCGAGAAACTGATCTCCAGGGAGAACAGCCTTGGAGCTGAAGATCTTCAAAAGGCCTGGCCATGTTCGATCGTTTTCGTGCCCGGCTTCAATCAACGAAGACCAAGTGGTTGGGTTTTTGGTGCTAGGCCCAAAGAGTTCTTCGCAAAGCTGCCAGGGATGGGGGAGAAGGGGAAGAGCGGGGAGAAGACTCGTCGCAATGTTCAGAAACTTTGCAGCAGAAGAAGCCACCTGCTGGGAAAGCAAAGGGGGGGAGAGGCAAAGGAAAGGGGAGAGGAAAAGGCAGGGGTAAGGGCAGGGGCAGGAAACCAAGTGACCCAAAAGCTGAAGCAATGAAGGAGAAAAACCGAGTCAAAGCAAAGGCTCAACCTCAACAGATTGAACATGATCCCAATTCCCAACCCCCGAAGAAAGCAAAAACAGAGAAGACAGTCAATATGGATCAGGACTCCATCTGGTAAACCTGCCAGTTTATATGTTTTACATATTCGAATATGGACGCCCGTATGTCATACGCAGGATATGGAAGAACTCTCACGTATTGACGATGGCCTTTTCTATGTTGAAGACATTGCTGGAAAGGCACAGGTGTACCAAACTTATTTTCCTTCTGGAGATTGGGATTCCTTTTAGCCGGCCGCGCCTTGCAAGTGTGTCATCCTGAGGTCGTGGACCATCCAAGGGCCTGACGGACATCAAAGCATTGGTGTGGTGCCGGGGGCTCGTCGTGGGCGATAACTGGCTCATTTTGGTATGAGTTGAAAGCACGCTCAGGGCCTATGCAAGGAGCTTCTACGTTAAAGACGTTCCAACGGATCGAATGAAGAAGTTCAACGAGCGCTGGGGCACTTCCTTTAAAGCTGGACACTTACCACTTTTATATATTCATATACTTATATAAGACATTTGGCGCGCTAGGTCAACAAAAAGAAGGGGGCAACCGTTGGCTTCTGTAAGTTCTCATCTATCAGTGATGCGTTTGAAACTCAGCTAAAGCTGCCAGCACCAACAATGGGAATGCACTTCAGTCACAGGTGGGTGGCTGCAAAGGAGCTCGCTGGTTGGCCTGTGGATGTGGACTAGCGGTTCATTTTCCAACTAGATGGGGTTTAGTGATCAGGAGTTCCCCATAGTCTGGACACATGGCTGACACTTCGATTCACAAATTGAAAGCACTTTCAAAACAGATGTCTTCGGAGGTTCTGTTCCACCGGGGTAGCTCCATGATCCAAATAGACATGCAGGGCAGGGCATTGGAAAAGAATGAATTGCCTTTACTCTTCGTTTCGTGAACACATTCATGCGCATGATCATGAGCTGTGAAAATGGTTGAGGAGTACAAACTTTGTGATGCATGCATGAGTCATGAATAGTCATGATCACATGAATCGCAGTGTTTCCCAGCTAGCCCAAAAAGACAGGGCTTGTAGACTGTCGACCCAGATTTGGAAATGGGTAGATCACCAGAATGGATGTTCTCCAACCTGGCCCTGACCAAGAGCACAGTCCGGGCCTTGCTCGCGGTTGGATTCCCAACCATCATGCGAAGACCTCAGGCGTCAACAGTACAGTTCTCTTGGAGCGCGCATATGTGGTGGTGTGTTTCTTAGATTGTGCGCACACACATTATTCTAATTTGAATGAGGTTGCATTTCTGCGATTATTTGGCACAGAATAACTACCAGGACCTGGAGAGAGTCTCCTCCTCAACTGATAGGAATCGAATATATTCTCACTGTTTGCCAACCTCCCTCACCTAGGACCTATCCAATGTCGACCTGTTCAGTGGCCAAGGTGCCATTTGGAAGAGCTTCAGCTGGCATCTCAATAGAGTGATCCGCTTGCAAAAAAACTGAATGAGTCAATTTGCTGGCCATTGTGTTTGCTTCTTAGACGATGCTGGAGAGAGGACGCTGGCACCTCAATCTTGACATGCTTTGTCATCATGACCGTAGATGACTCATCTATAAAATGTTTGAGGGCCCACCTCGAGTTAGAGGAAACAGATCTGGATGATCTTACATCTGTGTGCGCCTCTCAGCCTGGTCGAACCTGCAAACTTCCCCTGACTTGATCCCCGGCCATCAGGTCTGGGTTTGCAAGGGCAACCTTGCATGTCCTGCGCCTCAAGCCTTCTGGCTTGCTCACAGCGGGCCTACCATGTAGCTCTTATATATTCCTCAACAGAGGAACCAGCCTGCGCTCGAAGCAGAGACCACTCGGTGACCAAAGCAAGGGCTATGTAAGAGTATCCAACCAGTCACCCTGCTGGATATTGTAATTTGATGTAATTTGAATGAAATCCACCATTGCATCTTAATTCTGTTGGAGCTGTTACCTGGCCGGAAGGTTTCTTGTTCATGTGCTATAAGGCTTGGATGCCGCTTGGTATTGCTTTGCCTTTTGGCATCCCTTCGTGCATGCCAATGGCTGATCGAGCAGCCATCATCAAGCACATTTGTTTGGTTCCCCTATTTGCAGTTCTTGCAGAGAGCTTTAAAGCCTCACATACCCATCCACTTCCAAAGATTGCCGGTAACTCAGGATGGTGCCGCCATGAAATCACCGATCCCATAGTTTCCAAAGCCTGGGCATGAAACCCTGTCTCTGAGTTGGATGGGCATTTTTGGTGCAAAGTCTCCCAAGCTGACTATTGGCATTGGGACCCCGTCTGGGCCCCAAATCCATTGATGATCAATATATAGTAGATCGACTTCGAGCACCTCTTGCCACTTAGGAAGTGGATGGCCAAATTGTGGAAACCTCTGACCAAAGCGCTGAAAGCCAAGCTGAAGTTGAACTCGAAGGGGGTTGTCAAAAAGACCACGTTGAAGAGCGGAAAGCAATCTGTGTAGGGATACCTAGTTTTTGGAAGTGTTGGGAACCAAGTCATTATAGTCGAGCGAAAGCATTCGGGTCTTCCAGGCAGGGTGGCCCACTTCTTCGGGCTACCCAGATCTACCCAAAGGGCTTCGGCCGGAAGATTGCTTCCCTCCACCGTGCGTATATGGCCGTAAGCTCATTGATCTTCAATATATATTATATATATACGTGTTTTTTGATATCTCAGTGGGCACTGGAGGCCAAGGCCTCCTTTGACAATGAAGTGGCAGTGAAAGCAATTGAAGCCTGTGGGGTGGGGATCCCAATGATCATGTATAATATATATATACCTTGCAAATCAGTGAGCAACCTCCTAACCGACTGACCACTTGAGGCCCGGGGCATCAAGGTGCCTTTCAGCTGGAAGCATGCCGACCTCAAACCGGTGGGCGAGTTTTTGAAATCTGAGAAGGCAGCTGGTAGGTTCAAACCCAGTTTCAAGCTTGACTTCTGAGCTAGCAGTGAGCATACTGTCCACTCGAAGTGCTGTAAATCTCTGTGAGGAACAGTTTGATGTTATTGATGCTCCCACTGCTGTACTGCACACAAATTTATAATTATAGTAGTTCCTCAACTACTCGAAGAAAATGCTGTTCGAACCCATAGTGTGAAAAGTCCGTGAAACGACCGTGAAAAACCCGTGAAACCACCGTGAAAAACCCGTGAACACCATGCAAAAACTTCAACCATTTTTGCATTGGTGTTTGATTGGCTCATAGCGTCCATTTTTCATATTTTGGTGATTTCCATGGCTAAATCTGCAATCCAAAAAGCAAAAGACAGGGCAGCCAAGGTTGCGCAGGAGTCGTCTTTGAAGGATGCTGGGTCAGGACCCCCAGCTATAGTCTATTATAAGTGCACACCCTCGACCGTGCAAAGCTGCTGAGGCCCCCTGATGCACCAGAAGCAGGCCCACACTAGATTGCTAGTACTAGTACTAGACCCTTAAGATTCTAATTGGTTTCTCGGAGGTGCCAGTGCTCCTCATGATGGTCAAGGTGATCATCAGCTGGCGACTCCCCCATCCAGGATTAGGTGCAGAGGGAAAACCAAGGAGATCCAGCGTATTGAATCGGCTGAGACCTTGAGATTTGGTGAGACTCGTGATTCGCTGCCGTCAGACCCGTGCGTCAAGCGTGCCACCACCGTCGAACAGGAAACCAAGACATCAAAAGGGGCTACCCCACACACGGCTTCTGAAAGGAAGCGCAAGGTTCCACCTGGATCATCCTCTGACAGGAAATCTGGTAGAAAAACTGCTGCTGAGGATGGGAATCCGGATGACCAAAAGCCAAAGCGTTTGAGAAAGATGAACACACAAGACCTTCCCAAAAGTCCCATCAATCCCAAGTCTCTGCCTTTCGATGCTCCAACCCCCGACCAAGCTGCCATGATGAAGTTGCCAGATCATGAGGAGGTCATGCCGCCCAAGGAGCCTGCAGCAAAAGGCAAAAAAAAGGAGAAGGAGGAAACGGAGGAAAAGGAGGAAAAGGCTAGCAAGGCTTCAAAGGGAAGGAGTGCCAAGGCGAAAGCCAAACCAAAGGCAAAAGAAAGTCGAAAAGCACAGGCGAAAGCAAAAGCAAGTCCAAAAGCAAAGACGAAAGCAAAAGCAAGTCCAAAAGCAAAGACGAAAGCAAAAGAAGCAGCACGCCCGGCAGCAAAAAGCAAGGCGAAGGTTGAGAGCAAGGTTAAGGAGGACACAAAGGAGACAGAGGAGCTGGAAGAGCATGATCTCGCTGATCATGATCATGAGGAAGGTGAATCTAAAGAGGCAAAGATCAAGGAGAGGAACAAGAATGCACACAAATTGTACATGCGGTTCTGGCGGAACGTGCGGAGCCAGGGCCTAAATATAGTTTCTTTAATGCATATGTCACATGCAAAAAGCAGTATGTGCATCACATGGTTTAATTCATGTACATAAAGTATGATCAGATCAGGTCGGGAGACACCAAAGGAGATCAAGGATTTGCGAAAGAGGTTCAAGTATTGCTTGGTACTCAGCATGCGCATATATATACAAAGTAGCCATGTAGTCGTTTACATATAACTGCGAGGCCACGCGCAGCAGCAAATGCTCTATGAAGACTTCCTGAAGACTAAGGGCATATGGCGCCAGGGTGTTGTCTGGAGAGAAGTGGTCCAGCGTCACAGGGGTGTAACTCGGGGAGTTCGAAAGTGGCTGACCAGGAAACAGCTCATCGAACATTTTGGGGATGAAGAGACGGCAGATGCTGTAATTGCCAGGAAACACGAAATTCAGGAACTTGCGGATACAGAGATACGCGAACATCCAGAGTTACCAGGACCGGATTATAGCATTAATTAACCATTAAACTACGTGTTTGATTCTTGCGATAGGACTGGAACAGTACCTGGTCTTGGTTGAGGATGAAGAAGTCCAAGAGGATGAGAACCTTATGACAGACATGTTCAAATGCAAAGATGAGGGTTCAGCGTCTGAGAGTGAGTCCAGTGAAAGCTCTAGCAGCACGAGGGGCAAGAAGAAAAAGAAAGATAAGAAAGGGAAAAAAGGCAAGAACTCGAAGAATAATAAGAAGAAGAAAACAAAGGGGAAGAAGGGGAAGAATAAAGGAAAGGGAAAGGAGTCAGAGGAGGAAGATCCAGAGAAGCAAAAGCTTGCTGAATCAGAAAAGACAGCTCGTAAGGCACTGTTTTAGTAAAACCAACGTGCTCAAAAGCAATCACTAGTTCCTGTCAGACCTTGGCTGACATCACGAAGAAGATCAAAATCTGCAATGTTGAAATGACAAAGACTAAAGACATGTGCACTTCTTAGTTCATGAGCTCATGAACATATACTATAACATACTGTTTGAAGCTTGAGGTTTTTCCACTCCCGCTTGAGGTCAGCCAACATGAAGGAGGCGTTTGAGAAGGATGTGGGCCAGGCCTTGAAGAAGCTCTCAGACGCCCGCTCGGTGATGCAGAAAGCCCTGGAAGCCGGATCGAAGGACTTGGGTTGCGCACTTTAATTGGCATCATCCCATTTAAACACTCTTGCAGGATGCAGCCAAAGTCGACAAGGCTTGTGAGGTAGGAACCAAAGCAGTCGAAGGCTGCGACCGAGTCATGTTAGCATTGGGCAAAAAGAAACCCAAGCCCAAAGAATCCAAAGAATAGCTAGATCATGCTAGATCATGCTTTGGAATGTAGGGGATCAGTGTGCAAATTTGAGATGATTCATGCATGCAGCATGCGGTTTAAAGTTTAAATTACAAAGATCGCAAGGCTTTTTTGGCACTCTAGATAATGTTCACGTGTGCATACGCGCGCACTGATCAGTGCTCCGGCCAGCCTCATAGACCCGCTGAACCTAGCCGGGCAGAGTCGAAGGAGCCAATCACCAAAGCGCAAGGTGATCTAGAGTTTTGGAATCCGAGCAAACGAGAAAGGGTACGCATCACAAGAGTTCCGTCTGATCCGACTAATTTACCGGATATTGTGTTTGAAAACCATGCCACGCAGGTTTTGGATGTGAAGAACACCGACATCACCAAGTATCTTCCATTTTGGATGCTGTCGCTGGAGGGGTTGGGGGCCAAGTCAAGTTTGCTCTTTACATGGAGCCTGCCCGACCCAAAAACCAAGGCCTCAATCGATGAGAAAATGGCTGACATCAACTCTTGCCTCAGAGACGCTTGTTTTGGGATAGGGATGGCCCTTGTTCAATTTGAATCATTGGTCCGGGTTGATCTTTGGCCGTTTCCAAGGACACTCCAGTGGGATTGCCCAAAACCATTCGCAAGCTTGGAAGTTACAGCAGGTTCAATCGCGCTAGAGACTTTCGGCGAGCTTTGAAGCCACCAGTGGAGCGGGGCTGTCAAACATATATCTAATAATGTACATGTTTTTGTCTATATATATATACAAGGATCCACATGAGCACCAGTTTTGTTCCAGGAGCCGATCATGGTTGAGACATTGGTGAAGGAAAAACTTTCAGGAGATGACATCACCACAAAACCTATGAGGATTCCAGTGTTTCTTCCTGAACATCTGCTGGCACACCTGTTTGGCCCACTTGGGATGGAGATCGGAGATGATGCGGTGTCCATGTACTGGGCACATGCGAAAAAATACAATTGCCCTTGGAAAGATATATCGCCTGATGGTACCCATCAACCACTGGGACTTTACGGGGATGCCGCAAAGTTCGCCCCAACAGGGGAGAAAATCATTGCTGTGTTTTTGAACATAGTTCTTTGGGCTCCCAAATCATCCAGAATGAGCCGATATCTTCTCTTCAGCCTGGAGAATGACCATTGCCTAGGACCTGCAACTTTGAACCCGTTGATGGCTCCTATTGTCGAATCCCTTTGGCGGTGCTTTCAGGGGATCAATGTGATGGGTCGAACGATGCATTTCGCAGTATCGGAGTTGAGAGGGGACTGGGAGTGGCATGTCCAGTCCCTCGACAGGCAACGTTCCTGGAGGATGTCGCAATTCTGTTGGAGGTGTGACGCCAGCAAACGACCCGGCGATCCATGCTCCTTTTGGGACTTGTCTGATGCACCAGATTGGGAAAGAACGCAACTATCACATGGTCAGTTCTTAGCCCGGATGATCAAACCAGAAACAGCTAGATCCTCACAAGCAATTGGTACCTCAGTTTTTCCGATATATATTATGTGTACCATATAGCTGAGAAAAAATCAATGTATTGATGTGACCTATTTGACTCGGATTGTATGAGGTGCTGTACTGCTACTGCCGAACTTCCACTTTGGTATACTTCGCCATTGCAGCTTACACAACTTGAACTTGGGCATAATGGGAACAGCCAATGGGGGAGCTTTGCTTCCTGGTAATAAATATATGTGTACAGGCATGTGCCATATGCCCCTAAGATTCATGGACCTACCTCCAAGGTTACTACTGGCAGACCTCTCGTTTTTCGGGTGCGCTGAGACATTGACGCTGCGTCAAAGGCTGGCTGTGGCATACCGAGACTTTCGGCAATGGTTGAAGGCAAACAAGGTGCAATGTGGACAGCCGCTTTTTAGAGAGTCTATGGTATCTTGCCCATATAGATTTTTCACATGTGATTTCAATATATAAATATCGTTATTCCATTGCCTCAGGTATGGTCCAAGAATTCTGGAGCCTATTTAACCGCCAAAGGCTACAACAACAGGTGTGTTCTGGCATGGCTATCAGATTGCATGGCAATTGCAATGAACAAGGTTGTTCCAGTGAATCGCTATGTTGGAGCCTGGATCCAATCCGAAGTTGCAGCCAACAATATGGCCTGGCCATATCATGATATGCTGGGGCCAACAGCTGTTTGTTTGAAACTTTCATGCATATATCATGAGTGACCTTCTTCATTTTTGGTAATTGCACTTGGTTGGTTTCCTGCCCAATCCTTCTGGCCCTTCTCCTGAGGGACGCGCTGAACCGGATGTTCTTGACCATGGAGTCTTCTGGTCGGTACCTGTCGCCCAGCTGTCATGATCTGGTACCATGTGAATTCCTATGTAGAGACTACTCTTGTGGCTTCATGATATTTAAGGACTAGATCAGAAGCAGATCGCATCCACGACTACGGCATGACGTTTTTGAGAGTTCACCGACTGTTGACATCCATGTCCCAAAGGCCAGGGGTGTGACAGCCTCCAACTCTGACATTGTTTTTCCATGTTTTTCCTTCTTGGCAGGCACAATCTGCTCTTTTGGTTGTCTAGGCCTAAGATCCATGTACCTTGGCCATGGTAAATCTGGATTTCCAGGTGTGGGGGGGGGGGCCTCAGCTAGTTTGTCCCTTCACATGCCTAGATGGTACATCACCAATTGCGTGATTGCAAGGCACGCCGTGGCTTGGCAAAATTTGGCAGTGAGTCCAATGACTCTGGTGACTGTATGGTGTGGTTTTTCCTCGGCGACTCGAGGCTATAATATACGCTTCGAGCATACATTTATAGACGAGGACCAGATGAAGTGGGTCAAGCGCACTTCAGCGCAATTTGGAATATGCAGCAACCTCTCTATGTTTCAACTCTGACACTCTCCATGCTACAAGTATATATAGTCCTTGGAGCATGGACCTGAGGAATATGCCAACTCTCTGACCGACGCAATTTAGCAGCATCGATTGCTCGGAAAGCACCACTTAGATTGCTTTCGATGAAGTCTCACATGCAACAATTGAACGTGATCAACAAAAGACGTGTGCTCAAGTGAAAAAGCAATTGGCGCACGTCGCTTGGTTCTCCACGAGGTGGGCCGCTGCTGCTGGGCTGCTGGGTGTGTGGGTGTGGTGTGTACCCCCCACCCCATATCTAGATATATATCATGATACATATATATATATATATGTACTATATATACATCGGTTTTCAATTGTCTTTAGGTAAAACCATGTCTTTACCGCAACGACAAAGTTTAACCTTGACTTTGGAAGCCTTGGGCACCGTATTTACAAAGAAGACCTGATTACGTTTGCTGAAAATCTGTTGCCCGTAACTTGGTGAAGATGAGACGGATCCCTAAGATGTTTTGAATCCATCTCACACCGTGAAAATGCTGTCGGACAGCTCCAATAAGAGATTGGCATGGGAAGGAAGGGACGCCCCACGCAGTGGTTCTTCATCCATTTTGGCCGTTTCCACCAACTGGACACTGAGCAAGTGTATGAAATGACCACTCCATAGCTTCTCCACCAGAAATTAGGCTTGAGGGGGGATGTCCCCGGCCCTAAGTTTGGGCACCGGCGTGGCGAGGCTGCCTGAAGTTGCGCGGCCCTGCCACGCGCCTGGACATGGAGATGGTGCTGAGTGTAGCCAGGCAGAGATGCGGCATGAGGTTTCTCTCGATGTTTTCTCTAGAAGCCGAGGCAAAACCAGAGAAAACAAGGATCAACACCAGCCTCTCCCAGAGATCCTGGATCCTTGTTTTCTTGCGATCCTGGATAAAACTAGATGTGTCTCTGTTCAAAATGTTAAGTCCAGGATCGCAAGGCAGGAATTGATGGACGAAGGAGAAGCAGCTGCAGGAGTTGGGTTAAAACTACCCACCAAGCGGTGAAGCAGAAACGGGAGTTGGTTGAGTTTGCACCCACCAAGCGATGACCAAAAACTGGAGTTGTTTGGATATGACACACAGACAGAGCAGTCACAGGAGTTTGCCCATCTCTTCGTGCATGTGCCATGTCTATAGGATAGTAAGACGGGGATTGCTGGAATATGTGTGGATCGCCCAGAACACGTCTGGCGGGATGTGGCCCCTCCGGTCCCCGGTCTGCCAGACGACCCTGGCGGCCCTGACGAACCGCTGGATGGGACGACCGGACTACTACTTACTAAGACTTACTAGTTGCCACATTTGGTTGATGTGGGAGCTGTTGGTTCATGCTTGGAAAGAGCACACCAGACCCTACGCATTGTAGACACCTGCAAAGTTTCAATGTCGATCTCATAGAAAAGGAGAGTCAACGGAGATGACCAAAATGACCAGGTAATTCAGTTGTGGATTTGTGACTTCGCGGAATCCCCCGACCCGGATCGAGCACGGTTCCGCACGCCGAGCGTGCCACGGAACCCGCGAGCGTTGGCGTCCGGCCCGGGGTCTTGGCAGGAGTACCGCGAAGCGGCAAAATCAGCTTGCGAGCAAATTGGTGGCCCGGTTGACTTGCACCAGTGGTGTCGCCCGGTTTTGGTGCAATGCACTTCTGTGCAAGTGGTGTCGGATTGATGATGAGCCAATTTTTTCAAGGCACAAGGTGCCTTTTTGGAGCAGTTTTCAAGGTGCCTTCGTCATCCATGATTTTGTGGATCGGTCAGAGAGGTTTGCGGTACACTCAACTGTTTGTGCTTGCTTTGAATCGACTTGGGTCGAGAAGTCGAGTAGTACTAGCCTCAGAGGGCAGAGGCTCAGAGGCACAGAGCAATGAACTGCAAGGAACCATGCACGGAGAGGTGTGAGAGATGTGGAGGTCAGTGGTTTTGACCCTTTGACACATCTGACTTTGAGTTCA